ATTCGAGTAATGCCACCATGAACTATTTTACCACAATAATTGCACTTTGTAATTCGTCGATCACTACCAACAGGTGTTGCGTGTTCCCAACCAATGTCGTGTTTTTTAGGAGCCATTCTACAAATGTCATAAATTCTAAATAATTAAACAAGTAACATGCAATTGATTGAAATAGTTTAAATATAAAAAAAATTGTAATTGTAACATTTAATTTTATATAATTAGAAATAGAACATATATTTTTTATAAATAAAAAAAAAGGAAATTATATCCACTCATTTATTATTATAAAATATTGATGTATCTAATTATTACATTAAAGTTATAATTTTTTTGATCATTAAAATACAATAATTTTAATATTTATGCAATAAATAAGTAATTTAACTATGACAATAATGTAAAAACGCATGTTTGTCTTGGAGGAGTCGAACCACTGTTCTGCAAATGACAATTTGCATCACCCAATTGAGCTACTATTTTTATGTTACTTTTAAGGCAAATATAAATATATAAACATTCCATAAAAAATTAAAAAAATAAAAACTAGACTACATGTTGCGGCAGGGAATCGAACCAAGGACCTTGCATCTACATTTGCAACACCACCCATTTGAACCACTATTTTTATGTTACTTTTAAGGCAAATATAAATATATAAATATTCGGTTAAAACAAAAAAAAAAACCCAGACTACATGTGAGGCAGGGAATCGAACCAGGGACATTGCAACTAAATTTGCAAAACCACCCATTTGAACCACTATTTTTATGTTACTTTTAAGGCAAATATAAATATATAAATATTCGGTTAAAAAAAAAACAAACAACCCAGACTACATGTGAGGCAGGGAATCGAACCAGGGACATTGCAACTAAATTTGCAACACCACCCATTTGAACTATTATTTTTATGTTACTTTTAAGGCAAATATAAATATATAAAAATTCCATATAATATAAAAACTAGACTACATGTTGCGGGAGGGAATCGAACCAAGGACCTTGCATCTAAATTTGCAACACCACCCATTTGAACCACTATTTTTATGTTACTTTTAAGGCAAATATAAATATATAAATATTCGGTTAAAAAAACAAACCAGACTACATGTGAGGCAGGGAATCGAACCAAAGACCTTGCGGCTAAATTTGCAACACCACCCATTTGAACTACTATTTTTATGTTACTTTTAAGGCAAAAATAAATATATAAACATTCCGTAAAAAATAAAAAATTATTTTTTTTTCCTACCTATTTTAAGTTCTTCGTCTTTCTCACTTCCCAGAGTCGCCCAGAGTTGCCCAGAGTCACCCAGAGTCGTAGACAGAGAGATGCAGTGCAGTTCCTCGCGACCGAAGAAAATCGTCTCAACAAAGAGTTGAACAAGCATAACAAAGAATCGAACAAGAACGACACACAAGATCAGATGAAGAAGATGCTTCAAGGTTTGATTTACAGGTATGGTAGTAATCTTGATTTTTTATAGGGGTTTGCAGCCTTGGGGTTCATCTGATTTCTGCAATTTTCACATGGGTGTTGAGTTTTTCAATGGGTAGTCTGGCAGTAGGTCTGCTTTATTTCCCATCCCCTTTTTTTTTTTTTGGATTTTTGTTCTTTTTTCAAAAAAATGAAGGAGTGTTGATAATCTTTTGCAGAGGTGTGGGTCAGATTTTGGAATTTTTCTATTGTCGTGTTCGACTCGGAAGGATTCCGAATCGCGTCGCCCGAGTTGAACCGAGTTTCCACCGACACATTTGATTTCGGCCGAGACGTCCGAGATATCGTCGAGATATCGCCGATACAAGTTAAATTCGTCAATCTTTCGATTCGTGTACCGTTATCGTATCGTCTATGGCCGAGTCGGATACGACTCGGCCGAGTCGTATCGGACTCGGCCGATACTTTGAACCGTGTTCTACACTACATAAAACTGGGACATGAGATATTGTATCTTCACCTGTAAGCAAGCATGTTGCTAGTTGTCAGTGGGTATATAAGATTAAAACCAAAGCGGACCAGATTAACTGCTAAAGGTTTTGCACAAAAATATGACATTGATTACGACCAGAGATTTGTTTTTGTTGCAAAGATAACTGTTGTTCGTACTTTAATTGTTGTAGTAGCTATTCGCCAGTAGAAACTCTCTCAGATGGTTGTGGAGAATGTTTTTTTAAACGGAGAATTGGTAGAAGATGTTTATGTGATTCCTCCTCCTAGTCTCTCTCACATTCTAGGTGAGGTATGAAAACAAAAAAAAAACTTTGTATAGTCTTAAACAGACTCCTCAGACTTGGTTTGAGAAGTTCTCTATTGTGATTTTTGACTTGGGTTTCGTTAAGGGGATTATGATTCTGCTCTTTTCTTTCATTCTACTTTATTGGTCAGATTGTTCTCCTCTTACATGTTGATGATATGATTATTATCGTGGATGTTTTCGAGGGCATTTCAGTCATGAGACTCAATTACAACAACAATTTGAGACAAAGGATCTTAGTCCCTATCAATATTTTTTGGGCATTGAAATGGCTTCATCTCTGAAGCGTTATCTTTCTCAGTCAAAATACGTAGTTGATGTTACCCACGGGGCTCGTTTAATAAATTTTTGAAATGTTGAGACTCCTCTCCACGTTAATATGCACTACAGTTCTACTTATGGAGTTCCTTTGGCTGATCCAACCTTGTATCAAGTTCTTGTCGACAGACTAATTTATCTTACAGTTACATGACCTAATATAGCATTTGTCGTTCATGTTGTGAGTCAATTTATATCTTCTCCAACAACAGTGCACTAAACTGCAATTCTTCGCATTTTATGCTATCAATCGTAAATCTACCACTGATTTCTGTGTTTTTTTTGGTGATTCATTTATTTCCTGGAGAAACAAGAAACAGCCCGTTATCACTCGTTCGTAGAAGATAGTTTGATTGAGATGGTTGCTTGTCGATCTAAGCGTTTCCTTTTCGGGTCTTAGTCAAGGATCTAAATGTCGTGTCGAAACGTCCGAAACGTTTCAGAATTTTAACACTCTAACACAAAACAGTGGTTGAATCCTCAAATTCTAGTATTTCGGTCGAAACGGCACAATTTTGGACCGTTTCAGTCGAAACAGTACTATTTCGACGAAACAGTGAATAAATTCGTCCACTCTACGCCAAAAGAAAAAAGAGAGGCTCATAAAGCAGATTTCACAAAGTCAAAATTCATAGCTCCAAGCCAAAAAAATAAAAGGAAAAAATCAGAGATCTCAGAAATCACATGTATGATTTCTGTCCAAGTCTAGGTCTTTCAAGGAAAAAAAAACAGAGAGAAAAGAAAGAAAAAGGCACCAACGAAATCAAAGAGAAACAGAGAGAAAAGAAAGAGAAAGGCACCAACAAAATCAAAGAGGCAGAGAGAGCTATAGACCAGAAATTGAAGGAGAAGACACTGTAACTTACCTCTTGACTCTAGATTTGAGCAGATCCAACCCATATCCACGCAAATCTAGGGCTTGAGAGTTGTTCTGTCTTCATCGCTATGACCACAAGCCACCACTGGTCCATTGGTATGTTTTTCTCTTCTTTTTCTTCTCTCTCTCTTTATCTGGCACCGGCATCACCCATCGCGATCACCTACGCCTCTCGCCTCTCGCCTCTGTATTTCTCTCTATCTGTTCGTTCGCTCGATGTTGAACTGTGCAGGTCTTCTGCCTTTATATATATATATATATATTTTTTTATTATAAGTATAACAATTATATTTAATACCCTACTGTAATTATATTTAATACCCCACTGTAATTACATTTAAACCCCACTGTAATTACAATTAATACCCACTGCTGTGCAGGTCTTCTGCCTTTTAATTTTTTTTTTTTGGTTATAAGTATAAATAATTACATTTAATACCCCACTGTAATTATATTTAATACTCCTATAATTATATTTAATATCCACTATAATTACATTTAATATCCACTACAATTACATTTAATACCCCCACTACAATTATATTTAATACTCACTGCAATTACATAAGTATACATAAGTACCATTAATTAAATTTGATACCCTTCATTATTAGTATTATAATAAAATAGTATTATTAATTGGATAATATTTTAATTTAAAAGTGTTTTATATGTCATATTTAATTTGTAAAATGAATATAACGTGTTTGATAATGTAAAAATGTGTTTATTTGATAAAAATTATGTGTTTGAAATTAATTTAAATGATTTTTGCCTCATGTCAAGACTTTTGTTTTTCCTCCAATTTAAATTTATTCTTATATAAATAGATGTTAACCTAATAAATATGTTGAATTAATCAATTATTTAACTTATCTTTATAAATTAATGGATTGTATTTGTGTTTCTATGCGTTTCCATATTTTTTCATTGCGTTTTTGAAACGTTTTCATTTTTGAGCTGACCGAAACGGTGCTTCGAAATGAAATTTCGATCCTTGGTCTTAGTCCTTTATATTTTGACAACAAAAGTGTCGTTCAGAATTACACACAACTCTATTTTCCATGAGCGAATCAAGCATATTAAGATCTCACTTTATCCATCACCATCTTTAGCTTGGGACTATTTCCTTACCTTTTGTTTCTTCCACTATGCAGTTAGCTAACTTCTTCATGAAGCCTCATACCATGCCACATTTTCGTTTTCTTGATGGCAAACTCTTGATACTTCCTATCGTCACATCATAAGTTTGAAAGGGGATATTAAGACTCTAATTATATTTATTTATCAATCTTTTCCTTACTGTAGGGTTCCTTAAATATTGTCTCTTGTAATCAAGTTTTATTATCATGGAATATTAGAGTGCTGCACATGGTTTTTCTCTTCTTCTATCCTCTCTACATGTGACTTCTTTTCTTTGCACTAGTTGATTGATATTTTCAACCACCAGAATAAAAAATAAAAAAAAATAGATGTAATAACCAAAAGATAGCTAAATAATTTTGAGCATTCTGATATTATAAAATGCTGAAGCAGTAAAGCAGGAAACTAAAATACCTTTACTGATAAGCCAACCTCACTATCTACCCGAGAAACATCAACCCGAATATTCAGAGAAGGTTGCTTTTTTCCTATCAATTTTTCCTCAATAATTGGCTGCAATTGTCGGGGCAAACCATCATGATAAATCACATTTGACTAATAGAGAACAGAGTAGAAACATGGTAAGAATGTGAGGCTGTAATTCTGCAAAGAAGCACAATGTTTGATGTTTTGCACAGGGCAAACAGACGAGTGCATAGTACATTTGAACTGGTTCATCTACTTTAGGTCTCCAGATTAATAATATGAAGGATGGAAATCCCCAGGCTTGTCAAATGTGTATCAGAAACATCGATGGAAGAGTATCTAGCCCTGGACTGTTAAAGGCGAGGTACAGTAAATTGTTTAATAAAACGATACAGTTTCCGGAAAAGTGAATTTTGTGCAGTTTGACTTCAAGGGAGAAAATCTACAAATCCTTCCTCTGATTAGGTTATTTCAACCTTTTAGATTCAGTTTAGCTGTCAGTAATTTTCTGCGGAGAAAAAAATAGTTGCCATGAAAAGTGAACATTTTCATCATGCACTTGGTTAACGAAACAAAAACTTGCAGGGAAGTGAGCTTTTGACATTTCCTGCAACCAAGAAATCCCGTACAAATGCAGGACAATATTTGAACACAAATGTTTTAGAAAGAAATAATGGTGGGATCCACACTTTCCCGACAACCAAACACAAAAAGTGGGAAACAAAAAATCAATAACTTAATTTCCCTTCCCTTTAGAGTCAAACAGAAATGTGATGTTAATGTTATAATGCTATTTCTTCAATCCCTGCTATAAAATTGGCAATGCAGCCATGCAGGCCATAAGAACCCCAAAGAAAGGCAATTTAAAGAAAGGAAAAACTTTGACAACCGGTTCAATTTCAAGGTGATGCTAACTGAAAATTACCAGTCAATTCTTATTTTACAGATTTTCAAGTCAATTTTTGCATTTGGTTTGAAGTTATACATGTTTTCTTATGTTTTCATAGTGAATTGTATTTTTTTTTTTAATTTCTGTTTACTCAAAATGGACTATATATAATCCCGTGGGTCATAGTCTCATAGATCTATTAGAGCTATGAGCCTTTGACTGCATAGAAGTCTGCATACAGCCATGTAAGGGAGGGTATATTGGCATTTGTCATATATCATAACCGGTTTCATCGACTCTAAAAAATGATGTTTTGTTGAATGGAATGGAAAAGGCGATTGAAATTGAAATCAGAATAGGTTATTACTCATTCATGAAATAGGACATACAACTTTGTTAACTGTTTCCTTAAGAAAAAAGAGAAACATTGACAACATGATAGCACAAAGTGCAGTAACAAATCAAATTCAGTAACCGGCTAGTTATCTATTCCACATAATGTGGCAAATTGCCATAAACTAAGAACTCTTTTGAGCATCGATAGGGGATGAGTTAAAACAAATTTAGCTATCCAAATAGTATGATAAAAAAGTCTTAATAATGGATACAAACCTCTCTCACACGTAAAATGACTTGCTGGTTCAGTGGATTAAGCATCTCAGCAGAGTTGACTGAGCCCATAATGACTGCAGATTCCTCCCATATCTTACACTCAACAAAAATTCCCTCAAAAATCAACTCAGCAATTGATTGACCAAACTTCCTAGAATAAAGACAAAAAAAGAAACAATTCCAACTCATAGTGCACGATAAATAGTGAAACAAGGAAATCGGCTAGTCATAATCCAGTTATGTCGGTGTTTAAACAGATGTGCTAGATACCTATTTACTTTTTCAACGAAAGAAAAGAACTGGCATAAAAATGATGTCAATAGAGAATAAAGCTATATCTTTTGTTCAGGTATAGATAGTGCATTGGGATGTAGAGAAGAACTAGGCCAAAAGATGAAGAAAGGAACTATACCGTCCGTAAATAAGGTAAAAATAAGATGACATAAAAAGGGAAGTAAATGTCTACATCAACAATTGTGTTGAGGCTCAAGAGTATGAAGATGTCCATGAGGCCATGACAAATTCTCCTTCTCTATTGAAAAGAAAACTGAAACTGCATCCTAAAATGCTCTGTAACTACACCACATCATGCCAAAACTTCTCTCACTGCTCATTTCCACTGCCTTCCTCCACTGTGCTGCCTAATATCACAGGAAACCTACAAACCAACTTAGCGAGTAGACCTTAAATAAAGATCCTCTTACTCCTCTGAAAATTATTATGCAAACCAACAATCTCTAGTATTTGGAGCCAACAAAGCCTATTTTTTTCCACATTACCGCTTTTTTCAACATTTATTTCCCCCAATACAGTACGTTAAAATGTATTTCTCACATTACTGTAGTTTTGAAAGCATGTTTTCAACCATTCTTATAATGATAAAAGCGTGTATTAAAAAGACACCTTCAGGGAAAATCAAGTTCTTTTAAAAATGTGCTTCAAAAACACGCCTTTAATGAAGGAGGTGTCTAGAAAATACGTCTCAAACTTTTGCACAGCTGTTGCCACCGAAAATGGTTCCTTTGCTAAAACTAATCAGCAATGAGTGGAGAGGCCCCTTAACCATTTAAAGCAATCTTGGTTGGTCCTAACCTTTCAATGTGGATACGAACTCTCCTTATGCCCTCCCTCACGAATTCGAGCACACACGTGGTGCTAACAAACAGACATGCTAACCGGGAAATTGAATGGGTGAGAGACTTGGCCCCCTAACCACTCAAGGCCTACATCTAATACCATGAAAACTTAGATCAAACGTGCAAAGAAAAAAAAACATACATAGAAGAAGAGAAAGAGAAAATATGGCTGCACGGTGATCTGAATGAGACTATTTATATGGATGCACCACCAGGCTTTCGTGGTGAGGGGGCGTATGCGGGGAAAGTGTGTCGATGGGTTGCTGAAGGAGGATTATAATGGAAGCTAGGATTAGGATTAGGGTTGGCGGCCAGGGTTCGAGGTAAGATTTTGCTCTAATACCAACTTGAGCTATCAGTGACCGAAAGGGATACACAAACTGAGTATAGAGCCCCGTATATATATAGCCAAACAAGAGTACAAAATGGTCTGGCCTCTAATCTAGGCAAGACATAAAAGTCATAGAAGGGCAAAAAGGGAAAAAAAAAATATAATAAACTAGACTATAACTCCAATACATTTGAAGGGCAAATCCAAACATGAAGATTATGGAAGTTCGATAGGATAAGAATGTTTCTCTTATTCAGATGATTTACGGGTGCTTCTAGGATTCTAGAAGAGATTTACTTTTGGAGGAGCTTCAAGAATACAATGGCGTATCTCGTGTTATAACATAAATACAAGAAAAACTGATGAAAACAACCATGTGAGAATCGACAAAGTGGCAAGTATTTTTTATGAACAGTAATGGGTATTGTTCGTGCATAGGCTTTTCTACTTGGATTTATTTCCGATCATGTTGCTCACTTGGATTCACTTTATTAGAGTTCTTAGTTTCTACAATAAACATAAGATAATGTGTTGGGTAATCTTGTAATTACCTTAATATTACTCAGTTATAAATAGAGTGTAGGACAACCTAGCCATACATTTTGATTATTCTCTCCTTCCTTCTCTCATTATTTCTTCTTCTTCTCCTTCTCCCCGTCTCTTCTAACCCTAATATTATAGTACTATTTTACCTCACTTTATCCAAAAACAACCAATCCATACTAACTCAATTGTAAGATAGTTGTTTTAATATCATGTTAGAACATCCAACTCAAAACTGATTGGTAATGAGTGGAGATGCCCCTTAAGCATATAAATCAACATTGTGTGGTCCTAATCATACGGTGTGGAATACAAACTCTTTTTACACTTTGAATCAGATCCAACAGAGTCCCAATCTTAAACTTTTGCATTGCAAGACTCCAGCACACAGGGTTTTACATAACACATAAACCTCGAAAAATACAAATGGAATCTATAGATATTCATGGGACTTTACTTTGCGTCTCAAAAATACTGAGAAATTATGCCAATCATCACCCCATAAGATCCCTACATTTCACATTCGTCTCTCCTCTCTCTCACTTTCCCTCTCTCTCACCCTCACCCCATATGTTAATACGTACACATGAAAATTCTCTGACGCCATAATTAGAAGTATGTTAAAAGGTCTATGGTTGGATAGTGAAAGGGAGGTTAGGTATGCTCACACATTGTCCACACTCGCCTGTTGGAAGATCCCACATGCAGCCTAACAGCAAAATTATCCATGTTATTTAAGTGGGATGAACTGTAGAAGAGACCTCTGAGTTTTGGGTTTCAACAGCTGTCACCGAAAGCAATATATCTAACACAAATGTTTGAAGGGGTGTTTTCTAAACACGCCTTTGATTAAAGGCGGGATTTTGAAACACGTTTTTTAAGGGACCTGATTTTGCAAAAAAAAGGCATGTTTTCACACACGCTTTTACCATTATAAGCGTGGGTTGAAAACATGATTTCAAAAGTAAGACAAGGTGAGAAGTAAGTTTGAAACCACGGTATTGCAGGAAAGAAACTAAAGAAAAGGTGATACAGAAAAACATTTCAACAAAAACTGAATGAGCAATGGTTCTAAAACTTGAATAACATTGAATTCTCCTCTAAATTTTGGAAAGTCCAGTAGTGTAACTATGATTGCAAAATCTGAATTCTGATATATTCTAGAAAATTCAATCAATGCCATAACTGCTTCTATATATTGTTGAATCATTATATGTGCAAGGAAGTAAAAATTACTTGAGCCAAATATATTAAAAATACCAGACAGAGACACTCATACATGCTCCGCAGTGTTGCAAAAAATCGATGAATGTTGAACTTGATTGAAGACAAGTAAATTTCATCATTCCCAGCAGCATCCACGTTAGGTGAAGGCGCAGGGTGAAATTTGGTTGCCTCATAAATGTCCTGTACTAGAAAATATTAATAAAATTTCCAACAAGAACAGTGTTTGGTAGTAAAAGAATGGAACACATATACCTTGATTACTTCATCTGATACAGCACCAGAAAAATGGCTAGAATCATCTGTTCCCCCAGCACCAAGCATTCCACGTGACAACCAGTTTAACCAACCACGGGGCTTGCTAGACAGTTGCTCATTATCTAGTGACTTCCCTATACCAATATTGGTATCATTAGTTCCAGAGCAGGAGGAAGATTTCACCAGTAATTCCTGCAAATGCATCCATTATACGGACATTGAAGAGTAAGAATCCTAGTTTTAGCTAATGGAAAAATGTTATATAAAATTGAATCCGTCTAATTCACTGTCCTTAATGTACAAGAAGAATGTCATGCCAAATTAAGACAATAACCACAATCACTATCCACAATAAGCAAATGGCATGGTTGGTTGACAAGGATATACTAATGTACCTGCAACTCACGTTCAGCAGCAGACCTATAGGTTAAGATATCATCTATATCGGATTCTTTTTCCATTTGCTCCAACTCTCGAACAATATCATCATCTATTACCTGGTGATCACAATACAAATCAAATTTTAAAAAGGAAAGAATTGAAGGAGTAAAAGGACAGCAGGTAACTGACTTTCCATTATAAACCAATGAGATATCATGGAAAGAAGTAATGCTCCATTTACAGAAGCAGTAAATCAATAATTCAGAAAGTCCAAGTTGTGGCCAACCAAATGCCAGACAAGAAGAGGGAAGAAAAGAAAAACAGAAACCTTCTGAGAGGGAGGGAAAACAGAAAAGATGAAAAGAAATCGAGCCGGTGTTGCCTACCCAGCTGACTAAAACATTTTGGCAGTGAAATACACAAATGATGGTATGCCAGGAAGACAACTATTGTCTTAAACACGCACACTTAAGTGCCACTCTTTATTTCCATGGTTAATGGTATATCAGGAAGATAATTACTGTCTTAAAGAAGCAACCAGGATTATTAAGCAGATAACTAATGTCTTTAAAACAGCAGAAGAAAGTGCTACGTTTACTATAGTATTAAATGAAAAGTGAACCAAAGAGCCAAGGTATCCTGGAGCCTAGGCGCGAGACAAAGAACAGGCTTCATCGAAGGTGCATGTTGTAGATAATATGTGGATAAATTATACCACAAAGCAACTGAATGAAACATTTAAGAAGATTTCTAACAGATACAACATATACATCTCATCTCAGCAGGCACATATCAACGATAATCTGCAAAATATAAGTGATTTAAGAATTATTAGCACCCTTAGCAAATTTGAACATCAGATTTAATTAAAAAAACTGTAAAATGATTCATAAAAAGACATATTTCTTAGAACTTAAGCTAATTTAACAATATGAGGGGCTTATTGGACCAAAAAAAGGTTTATGTTTTGTAAGGAAAGAAAAAAACAGAAGTTGATTTCAGTAAATTAGAGGCTTATCAAAAGAAAAAATGGCACAGCAAATAACATATGCAAGGAGATGCAAAAAGAGAGAGGATGGCGTTACCAAACATCAATTACCAAATTAGCTTTATTATAAGAGTAATACTATTTAGATCTAAAAATTTAACCTAATTTGCTGACATAATGATGTGGCTTTAATAGAACCATTAGATCAACACCAAGTTCCAATGTTTGATGACTCCACAGCCAATCCAAATGTTATAATGAATTAGGTCAGTAAATTAGGTCAGTAAATTAGGTCCCAATAGCATTGCTCTTATTATAAATTGTAATTCTAGAAACGACTTGCTTTCACCAAATATCATCAAAAAGTGGTCCCAAAACTTAGATCATGTTATTAAAGCTATAGCAAAGAAAATTGTCACATCAGTTTACTTGATGATATATCAATTCATGAATATGACTGTGTTGACCAGTTAGCATGATTAATTGCTAAAATTTTGTATCCCATTCTTGAATTGACTTATAGTTTCTTACCAACTGTAAGATTCTCATCCTTCTAACCAAAAAGGGGTGGTCTTTTCAGCTCCCTAACTAATTTTGAGGATTGTTTAAGTATAAATACTAAAATTATACTCTCTTGGAGAGCCAAAACTTTTGGAGTAGTTAGTGGTTTAACATGGTATCAGAGCATCAAATTATGTGTTTGAAGCTCACCACCACCCTAATAAATAAAAGATTTCCATTTGCTAGACCCAAATTTAGTCTGCCATGGTGGCCCAACAAACATAAGGGTCCTACGCCAAAATAATTAATGAGGCCCCATTGTAATGCAATATAATAATATAATACGACTAAATAAATATTAGGATTGATTTTAATTTCCTTTTATACACCAACAAGAGAGGCCTTTACTAAGCGTTCTGAGACCACCCATATTCAACCCAGTAAATTGCCGATATAGGCTCAAAAGAAAGCATTTTCTTGAGACAGAGATATGAATCCCTTACAGATCATTTTAAGTTCAATTTAACTTGGACTAAACTAATAAGGATGTATATATATATGAAATTCTAAATATCGGAAGAGTTCTCTCCTATGTTTCTAATAACTGGCAAAAGAATGACTTGAAAAAGAGGAAATGAAAAATTATTCATATATATTCATTTAAGAATTGTTTTTCTTATATTTGAGATGTAAAACTACTAATTCAGCTTTTGCATTCAAGGTTAGGGTAATAAAAAATTCATTAATTGAAGTTAAATTTGAAGACCAAAATATAATCAAATTTGGTATCAATTGAAAATATAGAGAAAGAGAATTAAAATTTATTAATACAGCCAAATTATTTTTTAAAAAATGAATGTCAATACGAATTTTGAATAGTAAACTACTCAAACTCAATATGTTCTTTAATCATTCTATGTTAGTTTCTTGTGTATTTTAAAAAATAATTGAGCAAAATATTGGACCCAAATAAAAAGGTCTCAAATTTAAGTTAAAAAAAAACTACAATTTATGAAAATTAGGCAATAAATAATTACTCTGGTAGTTGATTTTGATTGTAGTCAATCAAAAGTTTTGCACAAGGAGCAAACTCATTTTTTAAGTATTTACATAAAAATAGGTTAGACTGAAAAAATAAAGATAATATAAAAATATTCATTCAATCGTGTCGTATCGTGTCAGAATTTGCTTAATATATATTTGTTCTATTTATAATCATCTATAAGTTAATAGGTATGCGTTGCGTTTAGTTGAATTTGTGTTGACCTATTGATTTAAGGAGCCGAAGAATTCCATCCATTTATCGTTCAAATCTACTCGTTGATGTCGTGTCAATTTTTTATTGGTTCGTAAATTATATTTAAAACTATAAAACTAATTAAAATTAGAGACCCTAAATTTTTTTGGGGCCCCAAAATATTACTATATATTTGGGGGCCCTGGGCTGCCTAGGGCTGACCCTACGCGTGTGAGGGGCGTGTTGAAGTACAATTACTTAAGTTACACCATTTCTAATAATTTAAACTTTTGAAGTACTTGGAGGTTTATCAAGGACATTGAAGGCTCTAAGGTCACGGATTTATTTAAATAAATAAGTGACTAAGTGCCAGTAAACCAGCATTATGTAAGATTTGTCCCATCCCATCCCTAGAAATTGTTGTGTTAGTTAAGATGGTCAGTGAAATTGAGATACTAGCAATAGCAGCCAGCAACTAAAATACTGCATGCCTATTAGACATTGTCCAGTGCTGCCCCATCCTTATTTGTCTTGTTTTATGTTATCTTAACTGTATGGCTTGACACATGTAAGGCTGAGATTCATAGGATCCAAAGCTTTGATATTGAACCTGTTGAGCAGCCTATAAACGCCACCTGAACCTCAAAACCCTAAACCCTACTTAAGGAAACAACCTATCCCTCTTATTTTTCAAGAAATAGAAACTGCCTCTGCAGTCCTCTTATCAGCAACGTTTCAAGCTGTTTTCTCCTCTTTTTAAGCTAGTAACTTCTCACAGCAGGTTCATCAAAAATCATTGCAACTCCTAAACATACTCTGGCCTTTTTCAAATCAAATTACTACCAAAAATATACAACTGTAGGATACCTCACACAATAAGCCTCCATGTCCTACACTTGAAGCTATGTAAAGAGATAAGATACTAGCATAACTATAAATCAAAACTATTTGCCAATAAGTGAGCACATAAAATGCAGGACTTCATTACCAACAATCATTAAGAACACAGATCGCAGTAAAATATCCACTAGAAGGATATATAGCAGTATTAAAATCAGAGATAAAGATCGTTAGTCAATACATCACACTATCATGACACCCTTTGTTCACACAATGATTGGAAGCCTTGATATTGACATGACATAAGGGTCAACTATTACATAAACAAAAAGTTCAAGTGAAGAATGTGGTGTGTAAAAAATAGAATAAATATGTGCAGCTTGGAACATGTTGATATTGAAAAGAGCCAGCCTAATTTTCACTAATTGCTAACTAATTTCCTTATGTTTGCACAGTTGTATTTTGTTTCCCCCATAATCCTTACTAGGTTATGGGCAGTCAAATTTTCATGCATAACAAACAATTAGTTTTTCTGCATTTGTACTCTCCAAAAAGTTGAGGATTTAAGGTTTTGCATTTTGGTTGGGCGGAGGTGGGGGTGGGGGTGGGGACGCGGGGGAAGAATCAATACAAAGGTATTGTGGTATCTAGAACATAATTTAAGCCACTGGTCATTCGTTTTGAAAGGCAACAAATGTAAGCCAGTAGTCCTTTGCTTTTGGTTGGGGAGGAGATATTTCGGCCTCTAAAAGCAAAGATCTAAAATTCATTTTGAAACGACCAACATGTTTATGTTTCCATGGAATCGAAACAAATCAATGATTGAATTAAAATTCAATGCTTCGATATGTTTCGACATGTTTCTACCAATATTTCAAGACATTAGATATCGCGGTATATTTCAACCAATGTTTTGAAAAAAAAAATCTAAACTTTTATCCGTTTCCAATATGTTTTTGAAACTTTTCCGAACACTTCAAAAATGTTTGTGTTTCTTAGGTGACCGACATAATGCACCGAGACTAAATTTTGGGCCTTATCTAAAAGCATACACTAATCCTTCAAAACAAGTGAAGTCAATAGTGATGCTTGCCAACATACATTGGACAATAACATGGAGAAGTGTTTGAAAAAGAAATGAATCTTCAATCGAAATGGAAGTATTAGTTGTGAAAAATAAAGAAAAAAATTAAGGAACAACTACAATATTTCATTGTACATAGTGTTGCATATTTAGAAGTCTACATCTTATATTTAGACCTAGCAAAATTCAACACCACCCGATTATCCATCACGAATCGACACGAAACTAGCAGATATGGGTTTGATCTTAACAGGTTCGAGTGATAAACTAGTGGAACCGCCTAACCTACGAAATAAACGAGTCTTGTTCAGGTGGAGTGGCTTATCCCGTCTATCACTTGATTAACAGTTTAATAAATTGATGTCACTCTATTACTCGTTTACCACTCAATTATCCGTTTATCACCCGATGAATCGTTGAATAGATAATCCAATTTGTTGCCAAATTAGGACTTTTCATTAGGAATTTTTTGTGCTGTCAAATTAGCAGGTAACACGAGACGTGTCGTATAACCCGTTTAATAAACAAATAGTTTTTGATTTTTCATTTTGAACCCGTTTAATAAATCAATCATATACGAGATGAGTGATTTTTTATACAAACTCGCTAAGAATCAACATGACCCGACACAATTGTTAGACCTACTTATTAGACACAATTGTTACACCTACTTATGTCCTAGCAATAAAATGACCTTTTTAACTAAAGTAAACAAGATAATGTAATGAATGCACTTCTTAATTCAAAAATAAGCAAAAACAAAAGGTCATACCATGTTTGGTCCCCATCAAGCATTTGCTAACAAAACAATCACAATGTGCTAAGTAAAATAATTCAGAGATAGAACACTGCTTCTAAACGAAACAAAATTTACACCCCATAAAACTAATTTGATTTCAATTGAGTGTTGTTTCTAGGAATAATACTATTGAATAATAAAGGTTTCCACCACAATTTAAATATATTCCATAAAATGTTCCAAAAGAGTCCTAAATTATGAGAGAAAAAGGGTAAACTCAAAACATCAGATGTGGTAATTAAAGCAAAGTACATGAGAAAATGTTATAGGCTTACATTATGCATTACCTAAGTGAGATGGTGTCAGTAATTATAAATGAAATGCATCACCTGCTCTTGCTGAAGGCGTTGCAATTTAAGTTTGTACGAGTTGACATACCTCCGCCGACGGTTTCTGTTATTAGAAAAATAATATTTACATTAAAGTTGAACAAGTATGGATTTGCATAAGTTAAGAAAAAACCTATAACTTCCCAGTGTGTGAAAGATCAGAATTCTACATGAGGCAAACAATGTGATTTCAGGAGCAAAGAGAGCTAACGCGCCGAGGTCCCTTGCATTATATTGCAATGCACAAAACGACGTGAAATTTCTGTTGCCAGATTTCATTCCCTAATGTCTGGAAAACAAGTATTTCCTGATGAGTTAACTTACAGCCGTTCTCCAAGGTACGTCCAAGAAGTTTTCTTCAATCTTTTATGAACATCTGAAAGGATACATTGCTGGGCATAGCGCCACCATGCTGTTTGCCATCCCTTTTGTTTTTTCGATAAAGGACTCCACCATGGACGATAACGGCCATATCTACAACATTCAACAACAACGCAACGCTACTAATGCTGGTCCAGAGGAACCGATGGACTCCCATCCATATAAAAACAAAGAATACACACCAACAAAAGAGCAAAATTACATGTGAAATTTAGAAAGAGAAGTGTCCAGTTGATCCATGCAAAATTCTCTAAAAAGACTTATTATAGGGGTATTCATGTCGATGCCTTCTGTTTAAGTATACAACTCAAAATAAATCGGTTATGACTGGAAAGGCCCAAAAGACTCATAATAATTTAGGAGGCGTTACTATATTAACGTGGGAACCCCATTAATACTCCCCACACGTGTGACCTTCACATGCACGTGGACAGGAAAATATAAGACATTTTCACTATGACATGAATAAAGAATAAATCAACTACAAAAATCAATCGAAGTGAAATAGAGACTCGTAGAAAACCTCCTAAAGCCAAACTCTGATACCATGTTAATGGATCCAACTCTAAACTAATTGCCTACTCATGAAGATGGCACAAGACTCATACTAGTTTGGGAGGTCTTAACACATAATTGTGGCACAAGTTCCAATACCTCTAAATTTTAGCCTTCATCTAAAAAATGAGAAGTTTGAGAAAGACATTAATCATGCACAAAAGAACTTCAATGAAGTACAAAAAGTTTCCTACATTCCTTATGAGTCAGGCTCTTGTGAACCTTCCTTTTACCAAGGACTGCAGCAACCGTCAGTCATGAAATACAAAAAGTTTCCAATGTTCTTTATAAGTCAGGCTCGTGAACTCCCAGTTTACAAAGTGCTGCAGCATCTGTTGGCATTTCATTTAATATTTGTTGATGTCGGATCAAACGTAAAATTCACGTCAAGCTTAAACTTTCTTTAAGGTCAATAAAATTAATCTGTCCTCGAATTCAATGCTATCAATTTGCGAAGGATATACTTGGCGCATGCATGGTATCCCCATTGGTGCTCTTTTAAAGCATTATATTTCTTACTTGTCAAAAAAAATGTAGGTATATATGCCTCCCTCAGAAGCTAAACACGATACATTTCAAAGCAATAAAAAATGGTAATCTCCTATAGTCTTTAGTAGGCTTATTTACTGTATTTTTCTGACTAGGACCATTTTTATATCCCTCAGTTGATATGTACCCCACTTATTGCAACTGAATTGAGTGTTCACACTTAGGCGAAAGGATTAGGATTTAGGACTATCGAATTAGGCCTTCCCAAGTGAACCAACCATATACCTAGATACTTAAAGATGATAGAATGAGTGCATTTTTTATTATGATTATACAAAAGGGCTAGGTCACCATTAAATCAAACCCATGAGGAGAGAACCCTAATTCATACTCCCTTTTCATAGCCCTATTGTTTCTCTCTTTTTCTCCTATTTTCACTTTTTTTTTCTTCGATCATTTGCTTATATGAATTCAACTTGCTATGAGCGACATGCATAGGTTTGCACGAACAATGTATGAAGAGTTCATAGCTTCCCAAAAAAACAGCATGATCATCAGGAGGAGTAGAGTTTAGCTGCAATTTTTAGTTAGTATCTTTCCAACATTTCATGCAATTTTCCAAATAGATGGTGATTTTTCAGAGAAACAGCCCTGGTCATTTTTTACTTCGGTTTCCTACTTTCAATGCAAGCCTTCCAGTTAAACCCTACCAAAGATTACCCAATGGTTTTGAATTATATTTGAGAATTTCGCCTTACAGTGGTCGGCAATCATGTTTTCTTCATATTCTAGTTTGAACAAAATGTTTTTGCTCATCTGACTACATTTCAAAGATGTTGTGCATGATAGGGTAATGCTTTGACAACTTTGTTGTGTTTCTTACAGTATTTGGGCTCTCTCAGAGCTATTTGATGAGTGTCAAGGATTGCAAGGTATGCAGAGACTGAATTGACAATGTTATAGACTTCTTCATCAAGTATTGCTTTGTCTCCTCTAATTGAGACAGTGAATTTTACAGGGGAGACAGTTGACAGAGATACTTACCATTACATCCACTTATTTTTCCCATTCAATTAACTTAACAACAGCAGAGAATGCACCTTGTAATTGTCTTTCCCACCCTAAATAATTGATTCGGTGGCCTCTAAGCATGACTAGATTGTCAACTTTGTTATAGATTGCGCACTTTGTTCTCATCTTATACTACACGTTCACAAAAACAAAAGATAGAATAGCTGATGGTTCTATTTCTTCTTTGTATGATAAGGGTTTTTTGCCAGTCACTTCATCTCTTTTTCTATCATCTGTCTTGCATTCCCCTAACAGATTAATAATCTTCTCTTTGTTGGTCCCATTACAAAAACAAATACATAAAGGGAAAATTTCACAAGGACCCCTGACATTTGGTTTTATTACACGGATGCCCTTTAAGATTTCATAAATCACAATGAGACCCCAATAGTTGAACGGCGGTAACAGTTTTGATAAAACGACCATTTTTGCCCTCAATTATTTGATCAAATTTAAATAAATAAAATCAAACCCAATCAATACTCCAACCAATGACCTGTGCCCAACCCATGACAAAAACCCCAACAATAACAGACCTCCACTGTGAGATCCAGGCATGCATACAATGGATTTTGAGAAAAAAAAAATCAAAGAACAAAAAAGAAAGAAAAAGAGGAAAAAAAAACTGGAGGGGTCAGATTACAATTTTTATTTTTAAAACTTAGTAGATTGATTAGAAATTGTGTAAAAAAGGGCAGACTAAAAAAAAATGTGAAATATGTACTAGGAGCCCTCAATTTCCGTTTGGTGGACTTATATCAACTTCTTTCAACTTTCAAACACCCACAAGGTATATGACAAACAATTTGAGGCTTGCAAGCTACACCTTACTTGGCAGTAACCAAAACTCTGGGTTTTGCAATTTAAAACTCTACAATAATGATAAAAATCCTTCTCTGGTTGTTGAAAGCAATCCACAGTCTCCATACGATAAAGACACACCCTATCCTTAGCTATACTAGGATGCTTTTGTTACAAGAGCTTGTATCTCACATCAAATAATTAAGACAATTAAGGTTGAAGGGCTAATCCACTCATAGTCAATTGGTTTTAGGTCGGATACTATATTGAATAATTATAACCGCTAACGTTGGTTTATATACTTGAAGGACTACTCCACACATAGCCAATTGATTTTGGGTCGGATGCTCCAATATAGCATCAAAACTATGCCTTGAGTAGTCAGTGACCCAAGTCTCTTAACCATTTGAATTTTTTGGTATGCATAGTTGTTTGTTTATCTGTTGACCCCACGTGCAAGCCCAGGATCCACATGGAATAATTAAAACCACATCGAATAATTAAAACCAACAAGGTTAATTTACACATTTGAGGGGCCTCTCCACCCATTGTCAGTTAGTTTTGGGTGGAGTTCTATAGCTTTGACGTCTACTACTCCAACCACAAGACCAAAAGATCAATAAGAAATACAACCTATCATCTTACATCAGCACATTTATGTTCCAATACATGTGTACTTCTTAACTGAAGAAGAAGAAGAAATCTAATATACTGAATTGTGAGATTCAATGGTGACTCTTATGTAACTCAAACCTATATCAAGAAAAATAATCCTAGAAAATAACATACCTCCATACTGTTAGCACCCTCCTAAGAAATATATGTTAAACAACATACACTTCAAGCATTCCCAAGCAAAACAGAAATCAAACAAACCATCACCAGAACAAGTGGGAATCCCTCAATGTAAGAAAATAACGCAAATGCAAATTTAAATCAACCTTTAAATTTCTTCCTGAAGTAAACAAGTTTTTTACTCTCATAGACTATTAATAGACCAATCCACCACAACCAATAGCATAAAGAAAAAAAAACCAATAGGAAAGGAAGTAATGATAGCAATAGCAATGAAAATTCTGAATTACTTCGCCTTTCAATTGGCATGTGCCAAAGAATCACATAGAACCAAGAGTTGTTGCAGCTGAACCTCATCAA